AGTATCCACTAGGGCCCATGTGTTTTGTATATTAGTGGGGGACCAATAAATCCTCAATTGGACATGTGGCCTCCTGTCACCCGGTATGGCCCTCACCTGTGGGCAACCTTGGCCACTCCTTCAAGGCAGCGGTTGGGGGGTCCCAGCCACTGAGGCTGCCTTCCTCTGTAGCAGGGGTGCAGTTGGAGTTACTCGCACCTCCTGGTCCCCAGTTTCTCTTACTTCTGTGGTGAATTGCTGGTCAGGTATTAAAGCCCTCCACAGACTCGCCAGCACAGCATTTGGCTGCCCGTCTATCTTGTCCCTAGCAACTCCTGCTCTGTGCAGATCCACCCACATCTGTGCTCGGGAGACATGGAGGGGCCCCTTTGCTGAGTTCCGGCTCTTTTCCCTTGTGTCTACTCACTTCAGCACCTTTCAAACCCTGTTTACATGTTGGTCTAAATCATTTAAACCCACCAGAGCCTCACCAGCCTCATACAGGTCACACCCGACCATGTGGCTTAGCACTGCCACCAAAGCGCCATACCAGTCTCGTGGGCCTTACTGAATCAGTTTCTTTCTTAAGTCTCCTGTAAGCACAGTCCTGTCTGGGCCCATGAACTGGGCATCATATACAGCTTCCCTCATACCCAGTTCCCTCAATAGAGCCTGTCCTTCCTCAATGGTTTTCCAGGCTCTAGTATTCATAGGAATCTCAGCTGAAGATACTCACGAATCCCGAATGGCTCATATGAGCCAATCCATCATGGACTGGTTTCCCTCATGTTGTCTTAAATTGTGAAGTCTTCCTCTCAAAGAGGGGATGTGTGGTTAGGTTGCTTAACTTCTCTGCTTCTGTAGAACTTAAAATGATTCCATCTGCCCCCATATCCCATAGCCTCACAAGCCAGGTGGCCACAGGCTCCTTCATAGCTTGTTTAAATGTCTTTCCCAGTTCTAACAGTTCTGGTGCTGAGTATTCTCTGATTGCCATGGTCCCCTGCACCAGGCTATTGTTAAGATCTCTATCAGCATGTTGGACCCTGGATTTTCCCTTTCTTTGAATTAAAGGTCGGACCTGAGGAGCATCTCCCACTATCTCTAGGTCACTTCCTTCTTCCTCACTGCCCAACTCTTCCCAGAGGTTCCAGGTTTTAGGATCCCAGGATGGGCCTTTTATTATCATTCTGATCTGGGCTTTTTTCCCTTTTGACCCCCTAGACGTAAAAAGCGACATGCCAACACCTCCATCCCCTTTTCTCTCTTATCTAATTTACTGGCAAAGTCAGAGGGCAGTACCAAAGAGGCCAGCCTCATAGTCCTCTCCTGTTCTAATTCCTTTCTAACACCTTCAGTTTCTCTTCTGGCTAAGGCCTCCGCCTGGGACAAATTTCTTATTATCAATAGCAGCGCCCAAGTGGCCGCTGCACCTGCTTTTCGACGTTTCTGTCCTGTCCCTGGTGTGCTACTCCCAGAGACTGCAGAATCTGTTCCAGACCTCCTGTTTTCAGGCCCTCTGCATATTCACGTGGTAGCCCCCATTGTCAAGCAGGCTTGCCACCCCATACCATCTATAAGATGGCTGCCATCCTGGGATCTCTCCCATCGACCTTGACTGTTTAGAAGGCCTCACCCTAGTTACATGGCTCACTGTCCCCTGCATTAACTGCTAGATTCTTTCTATTGATCTACCAATTTTCAAAATAGTAAGTTGAGGGGGCTGAAGAGATGGCTCAACGGTTAAGAGCACTGGCTGCTCTTGCAGAAGACACAGGTTCGAATTCTAGCACTGACATGGAGGCTAACAACTGTCCATAGCTCCCGTTCCATGGGATCTGATGCTCTCTTCTGTCCTCTGCAGCCACTGTACAACACAGGTGCACACACATACAAGCAAGCCATACACCTCATACACATAAAATAAAAATAAATAAATTAAAATAATAAGTTGGTTCCTTGATATGACTAGTTCCTTTTCATTTTGTTTACTATTACCTTGAACTTGAGTTTGTTATATGTTCCAGGCTGTTACTATGGTCATTGGGCATCTCTTTAAATTGATGCTGAGTGTTTTTTGGGGAGTGGGGAGTGACTTTTTGAGACAGGGTCTCCCTGTAGCTCCAATTGGCCTGCAACCCACTATGTAGACCAGGCTGGCTTTGAACTCACAGAGATCCACCTGCCTCTGCCTCTGAGTGCTGGGATTAAAGGTGTGCTCCACCACACCTGGCTCAATGCTGAGGCTTTTTATGACCACCTCATCTTTATAGCTTTCTTGCATTTAGTATAACAAGCTCTTGTTGTATGCTTCCTACCCTTGACCTAGTTGGTCACTTCTTTAAAGAGCTCTGGTTGTTTCTTGTGGGAAAAGGTATTTCAATCACAACACAAGCTCAGGAAGGAGTGCCCATTAATTTCTTTTATGTCTTATGCTGAAAAGAGGTGGAAAAGGGGAGTCCTTCATTTTGTTCTTCTTACATCCCTCTTTCGCTGTTATCATGTATCCTTATTATTTTATTTATTGAGTATAAATCATACACACACACATGTATATATCAGAAAAATCAAAGTACAACATTTTCTCATACCTTTCCCATTATACTCCTCCTGCCAGAAACAACTACAATTAACAATTTGCTGTGATTTATTTTTAGACTCTTTTTTTAGCCAACATAGTTACCTAAGTCAGACTAGTACACTTAGGGTTCTAAATTTTATTTTAGTCCATTCAGATGTTTTTTTAAAAACCTATAGAAATCAGACTCAAAACTCTAGCAGATAACAATGAAAGTGTTCCAGGGGCTAGTAGTGTTCCCTGGGGCCAGAGTCCTTGCCTCCACACTGCCAACTCCAGGGGGTGCTGTTTACCCTGAGGCCTCTGATTGATGTCCCATGGCCTTTGCAACACTCAACAAGCTTGCCAAGCTAAGGAAACAAAGGGTCAAAGAACAAAGGACTTGATCACCCAGAAAAGAAAACAACTGTTAAATATATGAAAACATGGTCAAGCTTGCTGCTAATGAGGTAAATAGAAAGGATAAATTATACCAAAATATTCTTTTTCCATCACCCAGACTGACAAAGATTAAAATACTAACACTGTCATCCAAAGCTGGATTGACTGTATATTTCTGGCAGTTTGGTATACACAGTACATTATAAATATATTCTCTGTTGCTAATCAAAACACTTCTAAGAATTTACCAATATGCTTGAAAGTTTATTAAAAAAACATACAAATAAAGTAGGGTTCTTAACTCTAATTGAAATTTATTTTTTCCTTTATAAAGTAGGCAGGAAATCACAAAAGTATTAGCATATGGCTTCTTACCGATAAAAATCACATATTTTACATCATATTAAAATTGTTGCAGATGCCATGAAGTAGCGTTGATGTTTATTTGTTGAAATTACAAATGATATTAGACCCACTGTGAGATCTTGCTATTTAGTTGGTCATTTCATTTATTTATTTATTTATTTATTTATTTATTTAGTCTCTTTTGTTGAGACAGGGTCTCTCTGTAGCCTCAGATGGCTTGGAACTCGCTATGTAGATCAGGCTGGCCTTGAACTCACATAGATCCACCTGCCTCTGCCTCCCGAATGCTGGGATTAAAGGTGTGTGCCACCATGCATTTAACTTTTTTTTAGCCTTGTGTGTTCTGTTCAAATATTAAACAAATTAATTCTACCACTTTAAATCTCCTTAGGTTGTGTCCACGGGATTACTCCACAGTCTCTTTCATAGTAGTCTCTGTAATACCTTTATGCTCAGCATTCCCCTTTTCTTTGAAATTCAGCCCACTTTGCAGCAGAGCCTAGAAAGTTCTATCATGGCAACCTGCTATTCTGGAACCCCAATGAAAATTCTCTCAAAAAACTTCCTGGGTTCTTCCCTCTCCTTTGACAGCATTTTCTATTACAGAAGTAAATTGTAGCCCATTTAAAGACAAAACATGGAACTGGAGAGATGGCTCAGCAGTTGAGCACACTGGCTGCTCTTGCAGAGGACCCGGGTTCGATTCCCAACACCCACATGGCGGCTAACAACCATCCATAACTCCACTTCCAGGGGATCTGATGTCCTTTTCTGACCTTTGTGGACATTGCACACACAGGTGCACTTACATTCATACAGACAAAACACTCATACACGTAAAATAAAAATATATACATCAAAAAGAAAAATCAAAGACAAAGCAAGCATACTGTAGTCTTGTCTCTACTTTTTTTTGAGTCATGGCTCCTCACAAACCAAGCTGATACTGGTATAATCATTCTTAATGACCACTGGAGGTGTACATGGATATTCACAAGTCAAGCATTTTTGTCTCTGATATTAGTTGTTCATATTCTCATAATACATTTATTTTAAAATGATATCCTAGGCATGGAAAGAGTACAGATTTTTAGTTCTGTAAGTTACAAATGGAGCCTAATCACTACTTTTTGTAAGGGATATAAATATTATATTAGATTACTAAAATGTTACTTCTTTCCAAAGTCCCTCAGGAATTTCATAGTGTTTCCAAAATGAAACCAAGTTTGAACATAATATAGTGATAATCAACCTGGTCCAAAATACATCCTTAGCACTCTAATATCTACTTACACCACTGAAATATTTGGAAGAAAATATAAATGCTAAGTCCTGAGTGACAATACTGTCATGAGTAATTATTGGCAAAATTATGTAACTTGCAAAACAAATTTTAAGCAGGGTTTATAAATGTTTGTTTGTAGCTTTATTACAACAAATACAGTAGATTCATCTAGTAATTTAGTTCGGGAGCCAGAGCTGCTTTGTATTTTGTTTAGAAGCAGACTAGTTTCTTGTACCATAAGCAAAACTGTAGCTAGGACTTGTAAGAACTCACATGAACAAATCGTTTAAAATTGAGATATAGCCTTATTGTTTTTTATAGTAGACCCTGGGAAAATATTTGAGCTCTCAACAGAAACCTCCAGTTTGTTTTTGTGTGAGAACATCTCTCTCTTTTTTTAATCTTGAACAGGATGAAGAAAACTGGGATCGCTGCCAAGATTCTGTGCTTTGGGATTTTGTGCTGCAATGTCAGGGAAATTCAGGGCCACCACCAAATTCAGGAGGGGATTTCGAGAGAGCAAGATTACAGTTCCTGCTATGTCTGAAAAACTGCACAAAGTTAATTATGATGATTATGTGTGTGGTATTTGTGTACACTTGTATGTGAAGGTCAGATGTCAATAACAAGTGTCTTCCTCAATCACTCCACACCTTATTTTTGAGACAGGGTCTTTCACTGAACCTAGGTAGGGTTCACTGGTTTGGTTTGATGGGTTGGCCGATGAGCTCCAGGAATCTACCCAACTCTGCCTCTCCAGTGCTAGGATTACAGACATATGCTGCCGAGCCTAGCTTTTATGTAGGTGCTGAGAATCTGAACTCAAGTCCTCATAGTTGCACAACAAGCACTTTCTTTACCAACTGGGCCACCTCATCAGCCCCATCAAGGTAATTATCAAGAAATAACTAACTGAGGCTGGAGAGATGGTTCAGCAGAACCCACATGGCAGCTAACAACCATTTGTAACTCCAGGTCCAGGGGATCTGATGCCTTCTTCTGCCCTCCGTGGGCATTGCATGCAGGTGGTGCACTTAGATGCAGGCAAAACACTCATACACGTGAAGTCAAAATAATAAAATATTTTTAAGAAAAATAACCGCCCAGTGTGGTGGCCCATCCTTTAATCCCATCACTTGGGAGGGAGAGGCAGGCAGATCTCTGTGAGTTTGAGGCCAGCCTGGTCTACTTGACTTCCAGGACAGCTGGGGCTACAGGGAGACCCTGCCTTGGGGGAAAAAAAAAAAAAAGACAAAAAGTAAAAAGAAATAAAAAAGAAATAACTGATATTGCTAGACCCATTTCCTCCCATGACAGTGAGCACTAATGCTTATCTAGACTGTGTTCCCAAAAGGAGGGTGAAGAAATTAAGACTCTACAATTCTAGACACAAATTCTACCTAACTGAAGAAGGAATGTGGTTTTTCTCAGGCAGCAAATAGGGAATAGGTACAGGAATCTAGGTACCTGGGCTCCCTAACAGCAGGAATGGTTTTAGGACATGCTTTAGCAGGTTAGCACCAAGCCAAGTACAAAGGAGGCAATAAAATCCTGATGCTCTTGTGGGTGTGGCAGAGGAGTAGACCACCATGAGAGAGACCACTGATCTGCTGGAACATACACCTGTTCCGTGCCTTGAAATCCCAGGGAGCCGCCGCAGATGAAGTAGCTGACAGCATCTTCACAAGGGAGAGCCCTGAATGAAGCCACCAAATACGACTGAAACTGAATTTTCCGCAGACATAGGAGTAAAAGCATACTTTTTTTTAGTTTTGAGAAATGTGACATTTACATCCAGACAGAATTCATCATACTTGCTACACTGAAAATATTTATTCACAGGTGTAATGCTCTCTATCCTTATACTAACAGAGAGAGAGAGAGAGAGAGAGAGAGAGAGAGAGAGAGAGAGAGAAAGAGAGAGAGAGCGCACACACTCTTATCAACTTCTTGGACTCGAGACTGGCTGGAGCCAACAAACCTCCCCACCCTTCCTCACACAGCCCTCTCTATTCACATGGCCTGAATTCTTGTGCCTTTTAATTGTTAGTTCCAACTCACTTTCACTCAGTTAATTCTGCAGAAAGATCTTGAGTAACTGATAGTTCGCTTGTAACTCAAAGGCTTAATTTCAGTCTCAAGATGTTCACAGTCTACAGAAAAACGTTGAGCTGTGGTTGGAAAGCAATTGGTATTGGGTATGAGAGCACAAAGAGGGCTTTAGTCATAAGGAGGGATGATTAAACCTAACCTGGAACTAGAAGAGGAGTCAGGGGAAGTTTGGGGAACAAAGTGATGACCTCACAGATATTAATGTGTAGAAAATGAGTCAGGGCAGGAAGAGCATTCCAGGGAGGTGATCAGTCAGGACAAATGCTTGAGGACATGAAATCTATATTGTGCTCCACAAACCACAACATTTAACATTGTGAGCATATGTATCACGTGTATATGCTTATCATACACTTTTCTGTCCATTTCTATACTGTTTCTAATTACGTTCTCTATATTGCTCTTGTCGTTTAACTAGTTAATTTCTGAACTCTTCTTTGTATATTGGAATAATCATCCTATCTTTCTGGAATGTTACATATGAACTTTTTATATCGGTGCCTAAGTTAAGAATTACAATATAGTGGTTTTCTGAAAATAAGCATGCATTGGCAGGTGTTACTGCAAAAATTCCCTTATGTGGATAGATCTATATGGAATTTAGCATTTGTCAGTTGAAAATAAAATTATGAAATTACTTCATACATGGCTCGATTAGCCATGGCTGAGAGGGTGCATAAAGGCTAGTTCAGGGCAAGAATTTTCACATAAAGATAAATGTCTTTTCCAGACTCAATGCAGATGGCTTCTTCGATGTAAAATTCTATTCTTGGCTAATTGTCCCATGACAATATTCCTTTCCCTTCCATTTCAAAGTCTCTTGTCTTAGGAAGTATCACAGTTTTCAGTGTGCTTTCTTTCAGCAGTTGGTCATTCTTCCAAGAAGGAAAAAGAGACATCATCTCTATGAACATTTACTGCCACCTGGATTATAGAGTGAGAATCTGTCTCAAATCTCCTTCCCAATCCCACGCAAAAAGATTAGGGGATTGTTGCTCCCAACTTCTCCTTTCCTTAAAAGAAATATTGGAGTTTGTTCCCTTTGCATATTTCCATGAATGTCTCTTTAGAGCAAGTTTTTGAAATGTTTATTTATGGAGCTGGAAAGATGGCTCAGCAGTTAAGAGCACTGGCTGCTCTTGCAGAGGACGTGGGTTCTGTTCCCAGCACCCACATGGAAGCTCACAACTGTCTGTAACTCCAGTTCCAGAGGATCCAACTCCCTCTTCTGGCTTTCACAGGCATTGCACACACATAGTACACCTACACACATGCAGGCAAAACACACATAAGATAAAATAAATAAAAAAAATTTAATGTTTATGCTGTAAACTGCCATGGTAGCCAATTATACATATACTTCTTCACACAGTAGTGTTTCTGAATGCATAGCATAAAATGCACAAGATTATAATCACAAAAAACAATAATTACATAGAAATATAGTTATCAAAATGAACTTTAAAACTTCATGACAGGGCTGGGGAGATAGCTCAGTGTTAAAAGCACTGGCTGCTCTTGTAGAGAACCAAGGTTAGATTCCCAGCACCCATATAGTAGCTAACAACCACCCATAACTCCAGTTCCAGAGGAATCCAACACCCTCTTCTGATCTCTGCAGGCACTCATGACACTGGTACACTTACACACATGCAGGCAATACACTCAAATACTAAAATAAAAATAATTTTAAAAACTTCATGATAAAATGGTGCATATTGATTGTCATATTAAATAATAAGACCCAGTTGCAAATTGTAATGAGCATGAAGGATATTTTCAAGGTCCACAACAAGTCTAGTGAATAGGAAAATAGCTTTTCTTTCTCTTGGTGACAGAATTATAGAAACAACCAGTAAATTCTATGGGGTAGGGTCTAATTCATAATTGAGGGAAACTACAAGTTCAGGAAATCAAGAAAAAGAACGTTCTTCTTTCCCCAAGCCCAGGGACCACCTGAACTCTGTCCCTTAGCAACATGTTGCTTCCATTTCCACTGTTAATACTGAAACCACTCTCTTGTAAGAAAGCCAGGCCTTCCTGCACTTCTAGTTGGGAGAACTGAGCAGGGAACAGAGGTGAACTATTGGTTTTTCCCTCTAGGATACGTCACTATAAACTCATTCTACATACCTTCCTTAATACTTTATAAAGACAGGCTGGAGAGTTGGCTCAGTGGTTGGGAATGCTGGCTGTTCTTGCGGAAGACCCGGGTTCAAATCCTAGTGCCCACATGGCACCTAACAACTGTGTAACTCCAGTCCCAGGGGATCCGACTCCCCCTTCTGTCCTCCACAGGCATTGTATGACATGGGTGCACTTACATACATGTGGGCAATACACACATACACATTAAATAAAAATAATAAATAAAATATTTTTTAAAACACATTAAAAATATAAAGACCAAGAAAGAAAGGGAAGGAGAGAGGGAGAGAAGTAAATTTTCACCCAGATACAGCCCAGATAAAAGAAACAACCAATGGCTACACAGAGGATCTTTGGGCTCCAACTACATCTCTTTTATGTATTCACCATAAAACAGGCTCAGTCACATGGATCTGGCAGTGCCATGGTGATGCCTAGACATAGAGCCATCAGGAAAATGATTTGCAAGCTGTGAAGAGCTATGCAAACACTACAGATGACTTTTATTTATAGAACATTGGTTCTCCTGTTTCTTTTTCTCACTAGTGCACAGGGCTATGGGATCATGGAAAGGCAATGTCAATGGAAGGATATTAAAGAAGCTGTGCCTGGGGCTAGAGATGGAGCAGAGCAGAGTGAAAGAGCCTGCTGGTACTGGGGGATCTCAGAGCTTCCTTGGCCACCCCTTGGTGACTGTATAAAACCACCTTGTCCCACTGAATTCACAAGGACACTGAAAAGTACCCGTTTGCTTTAACCATCAAACTATTTATCCATCCATTCACAAAAGTTATAAAAGGATGTTAGAAATAGTTTTGCATGTACCAATCCATTCAAATTGTTGAGGCATCAAGGAATGTGATGCCCCTATCTTGAAATGAATTTTTAAACCTTAGTATTTGTGGTAATAATTGTTCAGTACTAATGGACATTTCTAACTCTTCTGTGTATATCCTTGTCAATCTTTCTTAAGGCTGAAATTATAGCCCATTTTATGTGAGTGGTTATTATCGAAGGTTTATAAATATGTTTATATATAAACATATTTATAAGTATATATAATCATATATATATTGAAAACAGCCATGGTGGTACATATCTCTATTCCTAGCCTTGGGGAATGGAGGCAAGAAAACCCAAAAGTTGAGGTCAGAATAAGCTATACTGAGTTCCAGGACAGCCTGGGCTACATAGGGAGACCTTGTCTCAAAACAAAGTGAAGTAAAATGAAGAAAATTAAGTATTGAATAATTTAATATTTGTAGGAATCACACTATGGGACCATGGATTTTATAATTTTATCATACTTTTCTTTGTGTGTTTTAATTTTTCCCACTATATTTTAAAGTTTTAGATGTCCAGAAGGAAAAAAAATGATGTTCCATATTCATGTTAAATAAATGAAAATGAATTAAAGTGAATTGATATATGAGAAAATTTAGATCTTTGAGGTTTATCTGAAGAAATTAGTACCACATAACCTATATAATCCTAGGATCTTGTTCTACTGTTATTGTTACTCTTATGTAAGAAATGATGATAATAAATACTGATAGGAAAACAGAAAACATAGATGTCATTGTTTATCTGATCCTTTTCCAGCTGAGACGCGTGCCAACGGGGAACCCTTCTAGTTCTAACTGTCCCATAGTTGTTGGCTTTTTATTATTTAAAAGCCTCAGAATAACTTTTCA